ACTGATTGTTTTCAGCTCTGGATGGTTAAATGTTAGTATCAGTGGCTTAAGTGCAGACCTTTAGTTCAGTTAGAGATCTTCCAGAAACTTGAATCAAGACTGTTCCTGTGTTTCTCTGTGTTGCTAGAAAATGAAGGGATAGACAGGTGGAAAATATGGTTGCAAGAGAAGAATAAGAGCATGTGATTCCAAATACATGTTTTCTGACTCATTCTTTAGAGTTAGGAAGAGGATGTTTATTTTCTTACGGTAATGAAGGATTCTGTTTGTGTTCATGCCCTAGTCCAAATTGTCTGCATTGTCCAAATATTACCTAGTGCTCTGGAGCACATCTGAAATGAGTCAGCTGGTGAGGCTGGGAGAGAAGGGAGGTAACTTCTGGCATGGCAAACCTCAGCTAACATTTGTCCAAGAGAGCAGAGACAAATGACCCTGACCCTTCCTAGGGATTAAGGGATCTACACACTGTTTGCTGCCCAGTTTCAGCTCTTCACAGGACTCTGGAAGAAGGTGCACCTCTGTGAGAGCTGTTATTTTCTGCCTTTCCAGAGACTGGTATGTTTGCATAAAACATTTGGCTAGCAGAAATGGTGAGTACAATGTGAAGTTGCAGGGTACAAAAAGATCAGAAAAGCAGCAGAAAAGGCTGACTGCAACAAATGTCTCACTGTAACACAGGGGATTGGGGGGGCTGCCTCAGACAGAAAATGATTTGAAGTTGTTGAACAGTCGTTGCCCACTTTTTAATGTTTGTCCGAGTCCTACCAGTCTGCACTGCATCTCACTAGGGAACCCAGACAACCAAGGAGTGATAAGGAAGGAGAAAAAAAAAAAAGAGCAAAGTATTGAGAAACTGAGGAGGCAAAATTAAAGGTAGACTTCAATTTGTGATTTGGAAGCCAAAGAGAGCTCTCCAGGTGATTGAGCAAGCTGCCTTCAATTGCAGTAGCTCTCCTTACAGCTTTGAGTGGCCAGCTCCTAGATTGCTTTGCTTTGTAGTCATGGATAAGCCCTCCCTCTGGAAATTACTGAAAGCAGCCTGCCACATCAGCTCACAGGCTTATAAAGTTATATTTTAATTGTGTTATTAAACCTTTCTCACTTTCGTTTTTATCTGTTTACCTCCCTGATTCATCGGGATCAAGCTGTGCTAGAACAGAGATGTGGTTCCTCCTGAATTGTGCTGTTTGTGATAGGAATGTGATGGGAATGGGTGAAGCCCACTGCCCAGAAACAAGCTAAAATTAATCTTACTCTATTACAGGACTGAGTTTGGAAGTGCAGTAGGGGAATACTAGAGCAATGTGCTTAGCAGTAGGGAAAAAAGTTTGTTCCTGTCTCATTTGGTATAAATTATCCAGACATAGGTTGATGGAGAGAGGTTATCATCTCTGTTCTCACCTTAGCTGTTTCCTTTCTTTCCCAATCCTTCTCTCTTTCCTCTGATTTAAAATTCATCTTTGTCTGGCTCAAGGGACTCATTTTGGTTGGTTGGCTTAACACTTCCATCAGAAAGGTTATGCTAAGCAACTGAAAAAATTAAATACACTCTTTTGGCTCTAGGACCAGTCAGACAGAATTACTACTGGACTGGGACTGGGGGTAGGGGAGGAACTGCAGATGCCACTGTTGTTTTTTTCCCTTTATAAACAGTATATATTATGTTATTTGAGTAAATTACTGAATCTTCCTTTTAATTATATCTGGGCACAGCTGCTGATCCTCTTTTGTGACACAAGTCCTACAAGACAGAAACTCTTGTTGTATCTCTAACTTGAATCCATAGGTGTTTGCCTGTAAAAAATTGCCCATGCTTGCCAGGTATTATTGCTAAAGAGCACAGGAGATAATGTTGCACTTGCCTGGAGTGAGACATGGCACTGACCCTTCAGACATCTTCAGTAGTCATCAGTGCAGTCAGTTCTACTGCAGCCTCTGTTCTTTATCCTTTGGTTTCTCCCAAACACATCTGCATGGTGTTAATCATGCAAAGTGCCAGAGCTCTGGGGACTTTTTGGAAGGTTTTCTGGCAGTAGAATAGATCTCTGGTTTCTTAACACAAGCAGTTAAATTAAATAGATTAATAATCGGATGTAAGAAATTGATTCAACAGTGCTCCTAAGCCTGGACACACCCAAATTCTCAGCTGTGCCCATGGAATTCAGATTCTGAGGGAAACTCTTACTACTCATAGGCTCATGTATAAGGTGTTGAACAGGAACAGTGAGAGCTACCAGCTGTTACCTGAATGAACTTATTTTGCCTGTATGTTTCAAGATATTTTTAGTTTTCCTACAATAACAAATGAACCTCAGCTCTTTGATCAATTTGATATTACAGCAATAGAAGAGAAGGGAAAAAAAAAAAGAGAAAGGAGTTGCCATCTGTCATCTCTGGCTAATTATTTTGAGTCCTACCCTGTTTTATACACTGCAGCACACTATTTTGGAACTTGTTAACTGAGAGGTCTTCTACTCTGCAAGAGGATAAATGACTTCACCTCCAGCAAGTTCCTCACTGCTCAGCACGTTGTGCTATCATTTCATCCAACCTTCCTCCCAGCTGAATGCCATAATTTATTAGTTCAGTATTTCATCCTGCTCCCCTGGGCTGAATTGGCTTTTCAGTGTAAGGCTCTGTTTTGTCACCTTGTTTTGGGGGGTGTATGGGAAAGGAGAGGGAACAGGACTGCATTCCTCCAAGCTCTTGTTAGCAATCCAGCACCTTGACACTAGCTCTTCTGTAGTTTTTGGAGTGAGCCAGTAAATGAAGGAGCTCCCTGTAAGTGTGGAGGGAGTGAACCAGGCAGCAGGTGTTCATCTGAAAAGCTTCTTGCACTCTTCATGTGAAAAGCAATACCCAACATGTTTCTTCAGAGGTGACCCAGGAGTCCTCTGGTTCCATCTCCCCTGAGGATGTAGCACCCCAAAGACCCTTACAGAGTGAGGAAGCTGCTTCATTGATCCAGATTTTCCCAAAAATTCCTCTTGTACCTTGAGATGTGGATTACCTAATCACAGGCCATATTTATTTATTTTTCCTCATAACTGAACTATTTGAGCATTCTGAGTTAATTGAAATTTGGGTGTTTTTTTTTTAAACTCAATTGCTTACACTGTTACGTCTTTCTTATTACTTCTGTAAAGGTTAAGGTGCATCAGGGTGGGTAAAATAGAACCTATACTCATTTTGTAAATGCTGTCAGTTTTCACACTCATTACCTCTGATTTTCACAAACAGATGTTTGAGGGTTTTTTTCAGTTCCTTCAGCAAGGTGGCATTTTTCAGTATAATTGCAAAACAAGTTCCAGATAGATTTTCATAGTCTAGCTATGTTAAACCAGTGTGATTAAGATCAACAGCAAAGAAACAAGCAAGATTTCAGGAAATACTGAAATTTCTCTACAGATTTAGATCCTTGTGAGTTTTTAAAAAGGAGGGAGGGAAATGAAAATTCTATTTCAGTGGCTGGTTTTGGGTTTTGGCTGATTAAAAGGTGCCTGATATTTTCTAGTGGGGAGGTGTCCCTGCCCAGGGCAGGGGGTTGGGACTAGATGACCTGTAAGGTCCATTCCAACCCCTAGGATTCTATGATTCTATAGTTTTAAGCTTCTATGATTATATTGTTTTAAGCTTTAGTATACTTGGAGATAAATGGTTGTATTGTCCTCTACAAGAGTAAGCTTTTTTTTTTTTTTATTTTGGAAGAACTCCAAGTGGACAGTGATGGCAGGAAAAGAGGGTATTTTTTTAGTAAGCCCTGAAAAAGACAACTAAATATCATCCCAAAACACTGAACTTCCCCATGGGCATCCATTTAAAAACAGTATGTAAGGTCAAACTCAGTGATTACACTGTGGCTGTGTGAATTTTTTCTGAATTTAAAAGATTTCCAAATATTCAATCAAGTTGGAATCAGGGCCAAACATTTTGTAAAAGAGTTTTTCATATGCCCAGATTATCTTCTACTTCAGTGGTCATCTCTTGATTTTAGCAAGGACAAGCAGCAGAGCTATTTTTGCATCAAGCTCATCTAAAGCCAGGTAAGAGTAGAGTGCATGTGCAGAGCCCCAGGGGACTGAGAAACAGGAATTCAAACCTCTTGTCCAAGGTTGCTGTTTTTTACCTTCCACAGAGTGTAGGCCATGTGAAAAAAATACCAAAAGAAACTCTGTTATGTCTTTCCTACACTAGCAGCACTGTTAAGATGAAAATTCACACACATTATTCAGAGGAAATCAATAGACTTCAAGAACCAATCTAAGGCTTACTCTGTACTTTTTTCCCTAATTACTTTCTTACTTTGAAATATATTATAGTATTTCATATATCATTGAAAGCTATAGCATTAATGAATGACATTTCTTCTACATACCTGCCACTTGAAATAAAGTCAAGCAAAAAAGAATAAAGAGTATATTCAGGAGAGAAGTAGAAGAGAATCTAAGCAAAAATATGGAAGAATGAGTCATTACTTAAACTTATACTACAAACTGCATAGAAATTTAAAGCAGAATCAGTCATAACTCCCCCGTCCTTTCAACATTCTGTACCTATAGCATTGAAAAAATCCTTACTTCAGGAGACTGAAGATTAATGTAAACCTGATAGAGAATAAATACATACCAGCAATTAGGAAAGGTGGGTGAACTGCCCAGACAACTGTGGCATCAACAGTGAAATGCAATGCATATATATTGCAAGAATTGCTCCATCAAAAAGAAAAAGCTTAACTGGTAGTAGGCAGCTGTGGATTTTGCAGCTTCTTAAACAACTTTTAGTTTTTATCCATGTTAATAACAATTATTCCAGGCTTGGCTGAGGCAAGCATCTAGAGTACTATAATAAACAGACCTGCTGTTACTTCCCCTAGCTCAGAAAACACAGTGGAACCGAACAATGAGAGACTACAGACTGACATGAAGAAATGAAAACATTTTAATGGACATCAGAAAGTTAGAAAGAAAGCATAACTTCACAAAATATCACTTGTTAGTTACCTGTCCCAGAGAGTAGGTGAAGATTTTGCGAGCCTGCCCTGGAGAATTCTAGGTTGCCATAGGCAGGTTGGCACCCAGGAATTTCGTACCCTGTAGCATGAATAGAGGATAAACCATGGCTAGGTATGGCTCATAAGACATAAGAGTGATAACCTAGCTAGATTTGCTGCATATTAGTTGTCTATGGCATAATTTGGTACTAATTATTATCCAGGATATCTTACTTTAAAGCAGTATTAAAACTACAAACCAAAGTTAGGCTACAGTACACACAATTTAGTGACATTCTTGTATGACTATTGCAGGTCAGAATAAGCATTTACAATTGACCTTATGATGACTGCAAATGGATGTTACTCCATCTATTTTGCTGGCGAAGCATTTGGTCTTAAGATTTGTGAATCAAGCTCTTGTATTTTGGCATTATGGAAACATCAGCTTAAATATATTTATGCTTCATCGAAAAAGGGACATCAAAATTCCTTCTGAGCACCATAGTGAGAACATGTTTAACAGTGTTAATTGAATTTGGGCTGAGGTTCAAGTTCTGCATACCAGGTTCCATGCACATCTACCAGCAGCACAACAATAGCTGCAAAATGTTTGCTGGGAATGAAAAGCACAAAGAGTAGCAATCTGAGCTAGCAATAGAAGCTATGAATAACACACAGCAAAAGCAGCCCCTGAGCCCAGGAGAAGGCCAAGGAGGCAGGCAAATTAGCAATAAGAACTGTTGCCCAACATTAGCATAAAGCAATGCTGGTAAGATTCAAAACACTCTGTTCAGTCCTTAGTCTAGCAAATTTTCACTGAAGTGAAAGGTTGTTTTTCCTGAGTAAAATCTGAGTAAGGACTACAGTATTTGGCTGTACAGAATACCTCATACAGTACTGCTGTGCTCCTCTGCAAGATCAGAAATGCAACACAACATGCCTGGAAGGACAAACTCAACAAAAAAATCAAGTTTTCCTCACTCAAGCATATCCATATTTATGAACCAGATTTTTTGCATAAGCATTCCCTGTGGTCAGTGATCACTAACCATGCAGAAAATCCTGCCTTCCAGTATTCACCATCAATTACCAGTGGAGACTGCAAAGTAAGGACCTTTTGGACCGTGAACAAATCTTTACATACAGGACACATTTCAGGAGCAATAACTCTGCTACAGAGAGCAGCAGAGAATCTCAGTGCTTATGGGAAAGGATAACCCTGATGAGGCTCTTGCCACTGCTCTAAGTCTACCCTGGGATTGGCTTCATATCAAGACCTACTGGCAGCAACTTTATGGTCTTTAAGACACTCAGAAGAAAAGCCTAAGTGAATTCCAGCATGTTACTTCAGTTGTATCACTGAGTCGTTCTTAAGGAAGGAACATTTAAGTATCTTTTAAATACTTCCATACAGGACTTGGATTAAGTATGTGAAGCCACACAGGGAATACAGAAAAAATAGTGAGGGCCCAAGGTTTAAATGTTGTCATCACAAGAATCGACAGCAACCTCAGCTTTAAAATCGAAGTGGAGGTAAGAATAAATCTCTGCAATCAAACACCTTCAGTGTTGTCAGTTCTTTGAGTGAAGTGTCAGAATTTGGATTATGGATCTCTCACAGCTTTTCTGATGTTATCAAACTGCCAATTTCATAATCAATAGGCGTGTACATATTTGATACACACAATTCTGTGGTACTTCACTATGTATTTTCATTCTCAGCTATGGGTGTCAAGGAAAGAGTTCATTGTAGGAACACAGATTTGCAAATGGTCTTTGCCTGGTTCTCCATTTTGTATCTGCATATTTCTAGGTACAAAATTGTAAACTGCTCCTAAAAATCATCTGTGAAATCTTAATTATGAAAAAAACCACCCCAAACCAAGCTAATTTGGCCACAAGTTTCTCCAGAAACAGTGGAGATTTTTTGAACCAATGCATTTTGCATGTTTCTCTGCTGAGAAAACCTCCATAGGAGTCTTCTGATGAAATAACAAAACTTGCAAATTCTGAGCTGGATTAAACTAAAACTTAAGCTTTTCAAGCCTAAGAATGAATTTAATTTGGACTCTTTGTGTTTCCCCACTCGAGCAGGGGAAATCTCTGCTGTTTTCAGATCCATTACCAGTTCTCTTCCATGTAGTCTTAATGTAACCTATTTCATACCTTTTACTGATATATAGCAAATAGTTCTGCTATACATAATCTCGACAAAATATTTTAAGGCTGTGAGGTTGTGAGATGTTTTGACAGAGAGGAGAGGGGTGTGAATTCCACTTTAGCTGTTTGTTCAGTGTTTTTCCTGACATCTTTTTGGTAGTAAGTCCCATGTAATTGCTCCATAAATGAGCTAATACGGAGAAAAGCTCTCTGCACTAAGTGGTGGATCTTTCAAAAGCTCCCCAAAAGGATTTAATAACATACTGTCTCAGATAATCAGTGTCAGTTGTAGTCACTCTAATCACATTCTCATGTGCAAGGTTGAAAAATAATTAGTAATGGTAAGATTTATTTGCCTGATATTCAAACACAAAAATTAATTTGTCATGGGCTATTTTCATGGGATATTGTTTTAGCCTTGGCAAACCAGAAATCAGCACAACATGCATACATTTTTGTCTAAAGCAACTGCAAATTTTAAAGGGAACAAAATGGGAAAAGCTCCCAGTCCTGTTACTCAGTTATTTCCTTTCTGAAACAACAGTTTTAAGAAATTTGAAAGTATTGAAAGTAATAAACCTGACTATTAAAAAAGAATATTGTATGGTATTTCCAGAAAGTTTACTACAGGAAAAAGTAACTCATTTCCCTCTTCTTTCTCCAGAGTTTCCCTGATACTTTACTGATGTAATTGATACTGACTCCAGTGTCAAGTGAGGTTCAAATTTGGTCATACTGTTGTAATTGTCTGTGTTTCCTTGTCTTGTCCTACAACATGCAGCGTGTTACTTCAAATATTATCTGTGGCTCATCTGACAACAATCACAGAGGATACCTACAAACCTATAGCCAAAATGTGAAAAAGAAAGACACAGATTTCTCAGTGAAATATGATCAACACATTGTTCCACTGTCTAGAGAAGAACAGCTAAAATTCACCAGTTTTGGTGGCCAATGGTTGTTGATCCACTGTGCCTGGAGTAGAGTCATATAGACCGCTATGCCTACTTAAGAAATATTATTGTAAGAAAAGTAAATGCAATGCCCCTTATGGGAGTGCAGTTAATCCCAGGAAGGAGGGAAGGATGGGGGGAATTTTTTTTAAGATTTAGGTTTTATTTTTTCATTATCCTACTTTGATCTGATTGGTGCTAGACTAATTTCCCCAAGTGGAGCCTGTTTTGCCCATGACAGTAATTGGTGAATGATTTCTCCCTATATTTATCTCAACCCATGAGCCATTCATTATATTTTCTCTGCCCTCCCTGCCCAGCTGGGGAGGGAAGTGACATGGTGGCTTTGGTGGGCACCTGGTGTCCGGCCAGGGTCAAGCCACAACAGTAGGATACACATGGTTATTTTACAAATGTCAATGCAAATCTGAATGATTTTTCTGAAATAATGTGTTTTTCAGAAGTGACAGAATTTTGTGGTTGCTCCACTTTCAAGTGGAAGACTTAGTGAACAGACTTTAGCAATTTTTAAGCAAAAGTCACCCCAAATCTTACATCTGTTATGAGTAGGATTTTCTGTAATGCAGGAAGGAATGGGTCCTGGTCTGATTTTAGCTTAAACTCAGTGCTCTTTAAGACCTGAAGGGGATTTGAAAGTCACCCTTAAAACTGGGTTGTGCTATTATGATTTCCATGCTTGCCCAATTTAGCCCTATTTTACCCCAGCACGAATAAGTTAAGCATGAGAACTGCTATTTTTGCTTCTATTAACACCATGCAGCTATTTTAAGGACATGCTTTTATAAATACTAATAACCTGAGATGAAACATTGACAGAGCAAGCTGGAAGAACCACAGGGACACCTTGGAACATGCTGTCACGACTCTACTTCTACATCCCGTCCTCATCGAGGAGGCACGTGGCAGTGATGCTGATTTAGCATCACAGGCTTGCAAGATGCTGTCATCTGTGCTTGCTACCTACTTTCCTACCAGTCATGCCAATGTAGGTAACTGGCTGTCATCTCCATGGAACAAAGGCTGGAGCTAATAAAAATGCCAAACAATCCATTTTCTTTGAGGGGGTGGCAGTTCTATTCCTGGAGTTACCAGAACTATCCATGACCACAGCATTAAATAAAGCAAAACTGCTGCAGGGACTGCAACAATATGTCTTAATGAATGTTTTAAATAGAATCCCCATTGAAAAAACAGGGTCCTATGGAACCCTGAGTTGAGGTAGTCTGCTGGGACTGGACTCGTAGCTCAGCAGTGCAGACACTGATGCTAACAGAGTACATGAGAATATAAGGAGGTAGGAATGTCCATCAAACAGAAGAGGGAGGAAGACAAGGACACCTGTAATCTGTGAAGTTAATACCTATTTTGTGACAGTATAGGCTTCTCTTCCCTCCACTGTGTCAAATGAACCACAAAGCTTGGTGTTATCTGAGGGTACACTTGATCCCACTGTCCATGTTTGTGACAAAGATGTAAAATAGTGTCTTGCTTGTTCCTCACAGGGGTATTGAAGTTGGGCCCCTATTGAAACCAGTTTATTGGCTGGAGTGTCTGGAAATCCTTTGTACTGCTCCTCATCTAGGGGATGGTCTCTCCTGCCATGGCTGCAGGGAGAGGACTAGAGGGGATGGTCAAAAATTGAGACAGGGGAGAGTCAGATTAGATGTCAGGAAAATTTTTTGCACTCTTAGGTTGTTCAGGCACCAGAATAAGTTACTCAGGGAGGGGGTGGAGTCACCACCCCTGGAAGTGTTTAAGAGGCATTTGGATCTGGCACTGGAGGATATGGATTAGGGTTTAGAGGTTACACATTAATGGTTGGACTTGATGATCTCAGAGATCTCCAATCTTGATGACTCTATGATTCTACAATTCTGGTGCCCTCCTACTGATGTATGATCCCTCTTCAAGCTCTGGGCATCTATTAATGATGCTGACGTTAAATTGATAGGATTGGAATGGA